CAAGAGATCAAGCGTGCAATGGTTTGCTTGGTGCTGCTGAACTAATGTGAACATTGTCAACCAAACAAAAAATGCCGGCTTAAAGGAAAGCTTAACGATTTGTGTTCTGATCATGAGAGTGCTATCCAGAGAACATTAAACGGAGCGTGAACGTGTACACACACTCTCTCTGCTGGTGGATTATGGTGTCTGGTGTTGTTGTTATCATTTTCCCCCAGAATTGTTTAATGTTTCCTCCTCCTCCTTCTGCTGCTGCTGCTGCTATTACTTTTGCTGCCAATGTCTGCTCATTACTTGACAAGTTATCAAACCTAACAGACGCGCTCCGCTTCTAACCAATCTCCATACCCCCCTAAAAGTGTAATCGTTTGCTGTGATGCGATGTGCGTGAGTGCGATTTTGCAAAAACAAAAAAGATATATTATCAATTAATTGATGATATTTAAAAAATAGAAAAAAAATATTTGTTTTGTTTATGAAATTAAATTGAAAATAAACAATAAAATAAGAAAAAAGTGCTAACTGAATATAAATATTAAAAAAGTGTGAAGTGTAAAATAATTGTTATTGATTTATCGCAAAATTGTGCCAACAAAATGATCAAGAAGCTGCAATAAATTTAATATACAATGTAGTTAAAAATATGTAAGATTTTTTGAACTGATCATTGGTCAACCATTTGATATCCACAATCAAAATAAGTTGAATCGAAAAAATTAGACAAAAAAGTCTGCATACAATGAACAAAAAAGTAGACAAAAATGAAATTGAAAAGAAAGGAAATATCGTAAGATTTTTCCTCATAATTGTTAATTAAATAGTATTAGGACCTGAACAATATTTTCTCTATGTTCATTTTTATGAGATTAATAAGAAAATTGGGATCTGTCTAATGGTGTGTATCCGCACACGTATCATTTTAGAAGTTATGGTCAATATAAAAGGACTTTGTGGCCAATAGTTATACCGGAGGGTATTTTTCAGACTTTTTAATTTAATAATACTATGTCCTCAAAAATTGAAGAGAAAATTGCTACCTATCTAATAGTGTTTATTCAGTGGACGCACGCGTATCCATTTAGAAGTTACGGACAATACAATACGACATTGTGGCCAAAGGGATTATCGTATGGCGTTTACTCCTATTTTTTAATTGAATAGTAGGGGAGACTGGGACACCTTCGGCACTATTTTTTTTAGAGCTCTATATCTCAGTACTTGTTCAACATATATAACAATTTTATGGCTGATTATTGTCCTCTGACACTTAATTAAAAAATAGTACCAAAATGATATAAAAAAATAGTATTAGTTAAAAAATTTTACAGTTTTGTAAAAAAAGTCAAATTCGCCGAATGTGCCTCAAACCGGTGTAGCTTCGGCATTTGATTGGGGCACATTCGGCACCGTAGTCATAGCCGGGTAATTGTCATCGCTTTCAGTCTGGTTGAAATTCTGATCCTCTAAAAGCTCTATTTGGTTTTAATACGCCACACAATGTTTGAATTATAGGGCTTTATTTTCTAGCGACGGACGTTTACATCTCAAGGTCGCACACACCATCAGAAATAGGGGTTTTCTATCGCATTTTCGTCAATATAAGTACGTTTGATCATATATATGCAATTTCGAACAATAAATATTTAAGGACAAACTCAAATATTTAAGTTTTAAAGACAAACTCAAAAGCATTTTAAGGAAATAATATTGCACAATCTTTATATGGCCGAATGTGCCACACTTTAAAATGCCGAATGTACCCCCATTTTTTCCATCAATTTTGTAAAAACAATATATTTTTAAATATTTCTATAATAATACACATCGTAGTTAACCCCTTTTTAATAATTTTGTCTTAAAAATTAAAAAAAAAGTTTTATACACGTAATACTATGTATCTAAATAAGCTTATTAGCTAGAAATTTCAAACTTTGTGTCAGTTATTTATTTCGATATTCGATACCTATGTATCGAAATTAGTGATGTACGGTGAGAGCTTCATATCGAAAACGCGATTGCCGAAGGTGTCCCGATGCCGAAGGTGCCCCAGTCTCCCCTATTGGGCCTAAAAATTTTCTTTTATGATAAAGAAGAAACTCTCGGCCATCAAACCGATACCAATTCGGTTGACCTCAGTGGCAGATAAGATGTATATAAACAAATACTCCGAGGCTTTTGTGTGAAAAATTAATCTCGGTGAGATTTAACTTCTGGTAACTTTCCTACAAAAGGGCCAACATGTCGAAACATATTTATTTAGTACGTTAACCCTCAATATACTCTCTGAAGTGTTCTAGAAGAAAGGTATAAATGACAAAAATATTCACCATCAAATTTTAGTATAAGTAAATGGACAAGATAAATCTGTATTTCTATATTAATAAAGGACTAAAGTGATTAACTGACTTAACGATTCATCAACGCCCAGGCGAGAGCTAGGGTCACTCTTAGTTCAAAGGTGTCAGATAGGGCTCGGTTTTTGGAAATTTATACTAGAACTGTACGGAAAGTACTAAATGAGTATTAGGCGAGCAGGTAGAGCTGGATTTCTGAAACATGAAATTAGGGTCATTGGTGGAGTGTAGAATAAGGTTTTTTTTTTGAATTTTTTTTTTGAAAAAATTCGAGTTATAAGTATCCGAAAAGTACTGGTACAATTTTGTAACATGAAATTTGGAATGCGAATCAAAGTTGTGAAATAAGGTTCATAAAAGGATGTAGTTTTGGAAGTGTGTACTCATGTATACGAAAAGTACTAAACTAAATTTGAATTGGGAGGAACGGATAGATCTAGAATTCTAAAATTTGAAATTAACATTACTGTCGGAGTGTAAGAAATTTGTTTCTTATGTGCAAAATCGTACTATTATTGGTACACAGTAATTTGAATATAAGATTACTGTTGGATTTGGGGTATAGATGTAGTTTTGGAATTTCTTACTTATGGGTACTAAATGCTTCTAAATTTGGTCCGATCTGAATATTGGATGAACCAATAGAGCTAGAATTCTGGAATTTGGTATGAATGACAGAGCTGGAATCCTGTAAGGTGATGTATGTAGGTAGTTTTGGAAGTTCAGACACTATATTTGGTACAACTTTGGATTTAGTATGAACCGATAGGGCTGAAATCCTGGAATTAAAAAAAAATGATTTTGATGTTTTTTGTTCGGTGTATTCTGTTGTGAGTTACAGGGTGTTAAAAATGGAAGTGTACAAAGAGAAAATTCGGAACATTTTACAGTTTTTCTTAGACAAAGGGGAAAATCCAAGCAAATCTGCTGAGATTTTGAATGGCGTTTATGTTTCCGATACTGTAATAGACAGTTATGTGCAATTTTGGTTTCGTAGATTCCGTTCAGGAATTTTTGTTGTTAGAGATGTGCCTTCCACATAATGGATTTTGATTTCCCCAACCTTATATAAAAGTTCCCATCGATTACAGGTGTTTTAAGTGACAACCTCATTTTGAAGGGAATAAAACAATTTCAAACTTAAGGACCTTTTTACTCCTTATGCTTAAATGTGGAGAAAGAATGAAATAACAATAAACGGTTTTGCTCAATGTTTTCTACGACTTTGGTGCATCATGAGAAACATTGATGGTTGTGTGTGCATTTTTGGCCAAAAACAATACCGTTATTTGACTTGAACCGACCTCAATGAATTCATACACATCTCATTCGGTAATCCAACGGTCTTTGGTGCATAGTGTATATAAAATGGGATAAATTTATATATGAGAGCTATATGAAATGTGTACCATGTGAAGTAAACAGTATATATATTATTGATTTGAAAAAAAAAACATAACACACACCATTCTTGGATCAATTGGAAAATCGTTGAATGCAGAATTTTATGGAAAGTGTATACACTTTGAATGAAATCGAATAAATCTGTATCTATATCGGAACCGATCTCCATACAACTCAATATTAAACAAAATTAAAATTTAGTTGCAATCTGAGAAACGTTGGGTATTTACGCCCAATTCGGACAAAGTCTGAGCTGTGTAAAATGTCATCACAATAGTGTAAAAATTGTGAAAGGATGGACGAATCGACTCAAAAAGTATATATGGTTCTGTCTCGTTTCCCTATGAAAAAAAAAAAACATTGTACCCTGTGTCACAGTGTGATGTAGGATATATAGAAACATATTGAAATATCTTTTCTGAGGATAACAGATTCTGGAATCTGAGATATAAATTTATCTCTGATTCATTTTAGAGATGGCTTTATATGATTTTGTATTTTTTATGGTCTCACAAATATTTTTTTTTGACGGTATCAAATGGTTGGCCCTTAATTGCTATTTAGCGTTTTATTACTATGATTTAATTTTTACTCTAATCTCACAATATATAGAAAAATTTCTGCAACAAGAGTGGACTTAAATTCTAACAAAAGAAGATCGAAAATATTTGTAAAAAAATAAATAAATATAGTAACAAAAAATAGAATACAATTAAGAAGCTAATAATAAGAAAAAAATATTTTATAAATTAAAAAATTTATGCACTACAGAATAAAAATCTACACTTTTACTTAAAATAAATTTTTCAAGAAATTCTGCGTTAAATACACAACATGTTAAAGTAATTACAATATCCCTTCTTTGTAAACTTAACTCTACTGAAAAAAATCTAACAAATTACCCCAAATGTTTGTGCCTTAAAAAATAAAGATAAATAACAAAAATATTTTTTGGGTGTAATAACGCAAAAAAAAATATATTAAAAAAAAATAAATCAAAATAACTAAAATTTTTATGAGTGTAAAGTGATCAAAACTTGAAAAAATCTCAATTTCATCGAACCACCTTCGCCGCTACCTGTGGTTCTTTGGCATTTCGAAATTATCTTGCATTAGTCATTGCGTCGATTTAATCCTCTGTCGTAGCTTTTCGGCTCTTGTTACGCCTCGTGTCTCCTCGCTTCGTCTCGTCTTGTTCTCGTGTCGGTATTTTGCTTCTTTTTTTTTACGGTACGACAAACAATGTGCACAAAGAAATGTTTTCGCATGCCCACGTTAGTCATACTCGGTGTCATTTTCACAATCGTTTTGGTCTTCATTACCGGCATCACCCTGACGAACAGCATAAATATTTCGAATATTATAAAGTTGCGTGAAAAGGTTGCCAGTGATTCGGCGGCGGCGAACAGTGCCAATGCGGCGCAGACGCGTGCAGCATTGGTGGAACAGCAGTATTCCACATTGCAGCAGCATCATTTGTCGCGCAGCGATTTAAATTATATAACAGCTAATCATCCGAAAAATCTACAACGTTTTCAACCGAACACACCAAATTTGCAACAGCAGCCACAACAACAAGAACAACAACCACAACAAACATTGCCTCATATCTCCACAACAAATACAAATAATAAAATAATCATTGAAATTGGTATCAGTAACTATAGTTTGCCACAAAAATCTGCAAGTTCGGGAACGGTGTATTCCAATAATGCCACCTCATCCTCGGCGTCATCGTCATTATCTTCGGTGTCGTCCTTTGATAATAATCAGGGAGCTGCCTCCAATTCTACTGCCTCCGTTGTTGAAGATTTGATGGCGCCTCTAAATGGCGCCATTATTGATGGTCACATTGAATCCATATCAGTGCCAGCCACATCAGAAATTCGTCAACAATTAAATGAGACTCTCAAATATTTTGGAGGAAATGGTCAAAATGGGCCAGCGACGACGAAGACCACAACAACAACATCAACAACTCCTCCAGTGCCAGTGCCGAAAAATTCAACGGTGACATTGAGTTTTCAAAATGAAACCACCATGAATTCCAGCCGAAATGAGCATAACCAGAATAACACATCCTCTGATGAAGCAGCGACCGCTGCTGTTGTTCATCTGCCATTAACAAAACCCGTAGCCTCACTGGTCTCATCATCATCGGCATTGGCATCCTCATCAACCGAAACATTTGAAAGCCTTTTAAATAATTCTTTAAATTCCACAACTTCATCAGGAGGAGCAGTGGTGGCAGCACCAACAACAACAGCTAATGCATCATCTTCCACATTAAATGTTACAATTTCACCAGCTTTAATTGCTAGCCACCCTTCCACCTCTCCAACCACTACCAACTTATCAAGCAGCGATGGAAACGTTTTTATTGCCTCAGAAGCACCATCGTCAACGGCATCACCATCTTCATCATCAGTGGCAACAAATCAATTAAGCATTGAAGATCATAATCCCGGCATGATTGATTTTGAAAAACGCAATTATGTTAAAAAGGTAACTCTTAAACTCGAACCAATTCCAATAATCTCGCAAATCATTTATCATTTCCATAACAGCATGAAAAGCTGTATCGTTTTTTTTTTTGTTTTTGTTGTTTATGAACTGGAATTTGTATGGGAAATCGATTTAAGTCATCGTCATGACGAACGAACAAACAAACAGACATACACACAGTAGTAGTTATATGAATCTGCTCAAGTGTAGACCGACCTCATCACCGCCACTAATAATAATCATGATAAATAACTTTATTCCTAAGGCAACAGATTTCACATAAAGCCATCTTAGCTTAACCTAATTATTAAATTTTAGGCCTGTGTTACACTAACTAGAAAAAGTATTCAAGCATTTGTGGGAAAATTTCCAAATTTCAGAGATACAACAAATAAAAACGCTCTACCATACCAAAAATTTGTCGGTAGATTTATATATGAGAGCAACTACATCTTAACTATGTAGCTGCCTGGAGGAAACAAACTATAAACACTCAGGTTGATAAATTCGGCTAGGACCTTGAACGTACAAAAACTTGCACCAATTTTTGATATGGGGATAGAGAGTAAAAAAATATGAATATTGACCTACTTTTTAGTGTACCCTCGATGCAACAGTACTTCCCTAATTGGGAGTTTGGGCTCGTGTTTCTACCAAATTAGCTGTAATTTTATATTTAATCATTATTATGAATATCGGTTTACGTTTTGTTATACCTCCAACATAACATTACCGACGAATTTCGGTATGATGAAGGCTTCAGCAGAATTTCCCCCACTTATGAGGCTATAATTTGGAGACATTCATATATACCGAAACTAATCATTATATGTCCATATTTTGACCTATAGCCCATATATGCGTAGAGCTCCCTTGTCCAAGGTTTGAATAAATTGGCATTGGAACTCTCTTTGGAAGTCAAATACCTCGGCACAATCCTTAATCAACGGTTGGCGCTTTCAATTTTTCCTTAGGAAATAGCTGGGTCTGTCTTTGCTATGATTAGAATGGCGTCTCTTCTTAAAAGTGTTTTTTTTTTTTAAAAGAGCTATTAAAGCTGTTCTAAACCATTGAAATATGAAGGGTCCCCAACCCCTCAATTGTCGGTTTCAAACAATTTAATTTTGGTTTTCTATTGACAGATTTATTGTGTCAAGCTACGACAGATGTGCTCCTCAAACTTAAAACCAGGGTGCGAAGAATGATTAAAATACGCTCTTTCTCACGAATGCCCACAGCGAGAATTCGAATGTTTTCAATTTATCGCGAATGATAAAGTTACAATTAATGAACAAGAATTTGCAATCACTCGCGAATGTTCACATTGTACGAAAAATTCACGAACGATAAAATTTTGCTGGAAGCGTCGTCGATTCGTTCTTTCGCGAGCATTTGTTGCTGAAGAACATTCTTTTGAAAAACTCGAAGAAGCACTGTTAAAAACAACAACAAACAAATAAAAAATGTAAACACACACAACGAATGGATGTGTGTAGCAGAAAGTGTGCGGAATAACAAAACACATGTCCAACAACTAATGAGTTCACGAATGTGTGTTGTTATTGATGTTGCTGTTTTGAGCATTCGCGAGAATTCGGGAATGTTTGTTTTCATTCGTGAGAGAATGTCAGAAAGAATTTCAACCACCGAACGAAACGAACGATCGTTGTTATGTGCTCTCACTCATTTGTTCTGTGTGTGCGAACATTCGTTGGCGAAGGCTCGTTTGGTAAAGAATTTATCGCCATAAATTCATTCGTAAAAGGAGCACAAAACGAAAAGAATGTATTTTAATTCATTCGCGAGCGAATTTTTGCGCACCCTGTTATGTTACTTACTTAGCTGGCTTATGACAGAACGGTTGTTCCATAAGCCGAGCTTAAAAAAGATTTCCAGGCGCATCGGCCTTGTGCGCATCTCATCCAATGTGAAAGACCATTTTCCGAGATGTTGTCTTCTACTTGATCTTTCCATCGGATTCGTGGTCTTCCTCTTCTGTGTGAACCATAACTTGGCTCACTTTTATATGCCTTTTGAGCTGGGGCATCTTCATCCATTCTCACAAGATGGCCTAGCCAACGTAGTCGCTGCAGCTCGATCCGTCTGACTATGTCGATGTCTGAGAGAAGAAATTATGTTATGTTAAAGTCTTCTAGTGTTTATAAACACTTGCCAACCGATTGAAAGTAATAAAAATTTGAAATCGAGAGACTTCAGACGATCACGGTGGACCTCAGAATTCGAATGTCTAATAGCATTAAAATCACATAGGTTATAACATGACATCCTATTTCGCTTTCAATTCGTTAAGGTTATCATTCCAAGCGGGGAGTTGTGGATGGGTAACACCACTTCTAGCTGACCTGCAAATATATACAGACGTTTGTGGAGAATAGTGTCTGTGAGGGTTCCTACTATGTGTTCTTCTTATATAAATACCCAATGCTGATCTTCTTACCCAAAACATCCTGAGTGGTCTCCTAAGCACAAAAAAACCTATTGTTGTGTTCTCATATAGTAGACCCTAAGGTGGTATCTTATATCGAATTTTCTGAGATTTCGAATTTATAAGAATGTATGTATTTTCTCACAGAGAATATTTTGAGCAGGTATTCCAATATGCTAACCTCTGAGGTACTTTATATCAAATACCCTGATTTGGTCACCTAATAACATATCGATACCTGGTGGTAATATATAACGTTGGGCAAAAGTAAATCCATTATTTTTATATGAACTGCAGGACATTATATAACATGTTTCGGAATGTCCGATTTGAGCATCGAATATGCATCGTTTTGCTGTATGATTTGTTTCCATTTTTAAGGTAACTTCATAATGCCTCTCTCATAGAAAATATGCATCGTTTTGTTGTATGATTTGTTGCCATTTTAAAGGTAACTTTATAATGCCTCTCTCATAGAAGTCCTGAAATAATAAAGAAATTTTGCAATGCAAGAAAAAAAATGAAAAGCGCTTGGTGCCAAGTCCGGATTGTATGGCGGATGCATTAAAACTTCCCAACCATCCTCTCCGTGTGGCCTATCATTGCCCTGGTGGAACACCACACCTCTCCTGTTGGCCAATTCTGGCTGTTTCTGGTCAATTGCTATCTTCAAACGGTACAGTTGTTGACAGTAGATATTATAATTTAGCGTTTGACCATATGAAAGCAACTCATAATAAATAAACCCCTTCCAGTCCCACCTAATGCATAGCAGAACCTTACTGGTCGTTAGTCCACTCTTTGAACACGATCGTTTTCGTATGCGATCCATTTCTCATCACCAGTCACCATCCATTTAAGAAATGGGTACAAACGGAATGAGATACCGCTTGGCAAAAGCTTCACAGATGGAAATTCGATCCATCCTATTTTTTCTGTTAATTGCTGTGGTACCCAAACATCGAACATCTTTTTGAATCCGGCTTTGTGTAAACGGGTTAAAACAGTTTTATGGTCGATTTTTTAGCTCCTGAGCGATGTTACCAAATGTTACGACTGCTAACATGCCGGTCTACTTCGACCATTTCTCCGATTTTATCGACATTTTCATAATGAAGGTTTTCCCCATCTAATATATTCTTGATCAGAATAACATTCTATGTCGATTTATGCGACTCTGTCTGTCCGTCTGTTGAAATCACGATTCAGTTGTAGAGCTCTGAAATTTTGCATAGTCATTGCTAGAATTCCTACCAAGTTTGGTATTACAAATGACATATATTGACCCACGTTTTGGTGTAGCTATCACGGTACCCCCAATAGTCGGTATTTATTGGATGTTTTGGGTTCTCATTGTATTGCTCTTCCTTGTACTAAAAGTTTTTGATATTGAACCAAGCTTAAGTGTAGCCCTCATATAACAGTACCCCGACCTATCTTTACTAAAATTTATTTCACTACTCAAAATGATCAATATTGATCGCCGTTTTGGTATAGCCCCATAAGCCCCTATATTCAAGTTCCTATCGTAATATTATTTTTCTCCTAGGAGCCCCCATTAATTTTCATATAATTTGAATTTCATCATCATGGTGGAGGGTATACAAAGTTCGTCCGGGGAAACTTAACCTCTCTTTAACATGTTAAATATAATATTTTTTCGCATTTATCATCGAAGTGGCTCTAATTTGGCAGTTCGGATTCCCTTCTTGCCATAAAATTTTCTGTTCATGTTTTTAAATAGTCTTATGCAATGGTCATGCACAAATTTTTACCTGAATTATAAAACATTCTCCCTACAGATCACTTTCTCCGAACAAATTTTAACAAACCTTTCTACAACATTGATCAATTAATCTACCTTCATTTCAAGTTCCAATTTTGTTCATGAATTAGCTTTTTTCCTCATTCCTGTACTAAAATCTCTCTGGTCTGGTTTCCGGTAAATATTGTTTCCTTTTTAATCAGTCAACTATCCACTAATGACAATTTTTCAATAATATTTTTTAGCATTGCTTTCAATTCTGCCCCCTCTCTCTCTACAGTTCCCTGCACCTTTGCTTTGCTATTCTATCATGTGAAAATGTTAATTATCCATATTATTTAACCCTCATTAAATTCTGCCAGCAGCAATGAGCGTTGCATTTTGGTTCGATCTCTCGTCGTCGGCTTTGATGCCGCTGGCAAATGTTTGATATTTTAACAGGTTGTGGTGTGTGGTGGTGGCGGTGCTGGTTCTGATGCAGTTGTTGGGAATAGCTTTGTGACTTGGCGTAATGCGACGTGCGGAACCGATATTATATTGCAATTGACAACTTTGAGCTAACTGACGGACTGACTGGCTTCGTGATTCTCTTAACAGTCGTGGTTAGCACCTTTTTTGAATGATGCCTCTGGCCTGATTAATTGGCGATGTTTCGGTTCGCTTCAGTTCTTCAGTTCACATTACGACGATTGTCAATTCAATTCAATGAAGCTTTTGAATATTCAATAGTTGACAGTCAGTCTTTTATGTTCTCTCCTCGTTGTTGTTATTATTTTTGTTATGATTAAAACATTGGATATTGGAAAAAAATCTGGTGGACATTTAACTCAATGCTTTCCCCATTCTGTAAGTCTCTTCAGAGGGTATATTTTTGCGGAATTCAATCGTTCACTGGCTAATTTAAAAGTTCTTTTGGAGCATTTTTTTATGATGCGGCTGCAAAAAAAAATGTTGTGGTCCTTTTTTGGATTCTTTGGAATTGAGCCAATACCAAAGCATTCTCAGAAAGAATTTTTTTGTTCATCTTGAAATCGATATTTATTTTTGTTGTTGTTATTGTGTTTTTCATCTGCATTCATTAACAGTTTCATGGGTTGATGTGGTGATTGGTTTTGACAAATTGCCATCATTTTGTTCCCTGACTTGAAATGAGTTACTTAGAATGTGTTAATGATACCCAAGTATATAATTAACCCAAAATATGTCTTCTTTTTTTCATTTCTTTGCAGGTAAGAGTTGGCGCAATTTTGTGCTTGCAGTGTTTTGTACAATTTATGTAAGTATGATGACAATTTCGAAATTTGAAAAGGTTTTTTTTAAATAATTAAGCTCGAAATGATGTAGTTAGTTTTCTCTGGAAAATTTAAAATTCAGTTTCTTTCACAGAAGGACCAAGTTATGATTGACTTAAACAGAAGGCTATATGAATACTTATAGAATACTCAGGTATTTTTAATCGATCAATTTAAAAAAGTGTCTGAAGGAGTTATCCTTAATAGAAGTGCCTGAGGGTCTTCAAAATATAAAAGCCTAACGTGGTTCTTATAGAAAATATTACATTGTGCAACCCAAAAGATAATTATCGGGAAATTCCAACAAAAATATGATAAAGGGGCTACAAATAGAATCCACTTAAGGTGTTTGCCTATACCGAATAGCCTGAGGTGACAATTTTTTTTTTTATAAAATAGGGGGTATTCTTACACATGGAACTCCGGGATATTTTTCTCATATCGAACCCACTGATATCCTGAATTAATATTCGCGTAAAAGGTGGTGGTATTCCATTATGAAAGACACTGAGGTGGTCTACTTATAAGGTAGATCCTGAGCAGAACCTCTTATAGAGAAAACCCTCATATATTAAAGATAGAGCTTTGAAATTTTGTACGGATACAGCTACTACTTCTATGGTAATTGTTAATGCAAATGGGACATGACGGTTCAAGTTTTACTAAAACGAAACGTCTGAAGCTAGAATCTTGAAATTTGAGGAAAAAGTTTAGGTTGTCCAAAGATGTCAGATATGGCTGGGTTTTTGGAAATTCGTACTACTGGTATATTTTGTATTTGACCCGGTAGTGCTGGAAATTAAATGAGGGTCACTGATGGAGTGCAAAATAGATATGTCAAAGGATTTTTTTTTTGGAAATTCGAACTATAAGTATCCGAAAAGTACTAAAATGTACTAAAGAGGTGAAGACATGAAATTTGGAATGCGAATTAGGATTGGGAAGTAGGGTCAACTTAAGGAGATGGCTTCAAAAACGTGTACTAATGTGTACGAAATTTGATTTGGAGGTATAATTCAAGCTGAAATTCTAAAAATTTAAATTTACATTTCCGTCAGAGTGTAGGATTGAGATATGTACGTAATTTTTGATTTTTTATACCCTACACAACTATGTTGTCAGGGTATTATAGCTTTGTGCAGCCCCAAAAGTTTGTAACGCCGCGAAATATTGGTCCTAGACCCAACTTTAAGTATACCGATCATCATATCTCGACTAGCTGAGTCGATCTAGACATGTTTGTCCGTCCGTCTGTCCATTATAATTTGTAAACACGATACAGGCCATAGTTATGGACCAATCTTCACGAAATTTTGCATGTAGAATGGGTTCCGGCCAATGAAGACTCCTATTGTTTTTGATAAAGATCGGTTAATATTTAGGGGATGGAATGGACCAAAAACTTTATTTTTGTCTGATTTTCTGGTCGCTCCAGCGGACGCAATTATGGCTGAAACCCCGCGAATTTTTGCATGGAGAAGTGAATCGGGCCAAAGAATAAGCATGTCTGTTTTGGTAAAGATCGGTCAATATTTAGCGGGTCAAATGGACCCTGACTTTTGTGCAAAAAATGACAAAATTTGTATTCTATTGCGTATATATTTGCCCCTGAAGGACCTAGAGGATTGGTTGAGCTTTAAATTGATACCAATTATATGGTCGTATGTACTCAGATGTAGGAGCTACACTTAAATATTTACAGGTGCTGACGTATTCAGACATAATTTAGTAACCGAAAACCACACTAGAGGGCGGAAATATAGCGCTGATCGCTTTGAAAATTTCCATGAGATTCCAGTTATGGTCAAAGACAACGCTTATAACTTTCGGTGATGATCAGATAATAATTTTGGGATGAAGTAGAGCGAAAACTTAACATTTTGTGTTTTTTTTAGTCGATCTATAGGCCACAATCACTACATAACCCACGGTAAAGAGAATCTGGACAAATATAGCCCTCGTCTACTGAATATTAGTAATATTTGTTGACCTGTAGTCGGGTTTCAAGAGGGTGCAAATAACGCAAAGTTAGATTTTCGTGGAAGTTGTGTAGGGTATTATATGGTCGGTCCCGTCCGACTATACTGCTCCGCTCACTGGTTTATTTATGTACTAAATCGTACTATAATTGGTACAATTTGGATTTGGGTGAACCGATAGAGCTGGAACAATGAAATTTGGAGTTAGGATTATTGTTAGGGTGTAGGATTTGTATATGTAGGACATTTTGGAAATTCGTATTAATGTGTACTATATGGTACCAAATTTGTATTTGGGTGAACTGTTAGAGCTGGAATCTTGACATTTGGAGTTAGGATCATTGTTGGGGGCGGTTGAAAAGAGCTATAGGATTACTGTTGTGGTGTAGGATTGGAGTATGTAGGAAATTTTGGTACCAAATTTAGTAAATGGTACCAAATTTAGATTTGGGCGAACAGATAGAATCTTGAAATATGAAGTTAGGATCACTGTTTGGATTGAGGATGTACTAAATGATACCAAATTTGTAGTTAGGTGAACCGATAGAGCTGGAATATTGACATTAGGAGTTAGTATTACTGTAAGGGTCTTGGATTGGGGTATATAGAATGTTTTGGAAATTTCTACTAAATGGTACTAAATTTGATACAATTTGGATTTACAGTGAACTGAGAGAGCTGGGATGCTGACATTGGGTAACAAATTTGGATTTGGGTGAACCTATGTTTGAAATATGGGGTTTTCTTCGAAATAAGTACTACAAGAGTACAAAGGACAATAAGTGATACCATATTTAGTATAGAGCTAGATTTCTGTTGGGGTTAAAATTGATGTGTAGAGTTGAGATATATAGGTACTTTTTGAAATATGGTATTGGTCGGTATTGGTTTTTAGATAATTCCCACATTCGCTAACGAAGTTGCGGGCATATGATAGTTACGGATATAAATATTTTTATCTAATATGTTGACCCTCAGTCGACTCTGTCCCCTTCAATAGAAGTGATTGAAAACTTATTTAAAACGAGGTTATAGTAGGTCAAAATATCGTACAAAAATATTCGCCATAAAGTTCTACTATATGTTTCAGAATAAAGCAAAACTCGCAAATCAGCCTAAACGTCGAGTTTTTACCACTAAATATCGCTTTAGAAAGATGGCATATACAACAAAAATATTCTCCATCAAATTTAAGTATACGTCACTGAATGAGACAAATCGGTATAAAAAATAGAAAAACAAAATCGGATTCTAAAAAAGTAAATTTTTAAAATGCCGATACACGCGTCTTCTATACTTAGTCCTTCTATCATAATTTTATTGGAATTTCCCGATAATTATCTAACAAAAAATCCATCCATATATAGACCCGGGCTTCAGAAAATAATATACGGAAATTGTCATTAGGTATTAGAAGTTCGTGAGGCCAAAGTTTTGCATAGCAACGACATAGTGTTCCTAGACATACCTAACCAGAATATATTAGGTTGGTGCGTATGAAATTTCGGATTCTATTTACATGCGGACGTTTGTCTCCCTGTCTTCGTTATACTTTTGTCTTTGACATAACCTCATTCATAGTCGTATTGTCCCTTGCCAGAGAATCATTTCAGCAAAATAGGGTTTCTCGAAGGTCTTCCCTTTTGTTATTTCTTTTGAGTTTATTGCCGATATGAATTCTGCCGACATTCGCGTCATTTTCTTATATGAGTACAAACTTGGTAAAAGCTGCAAGGAACATAAGCCAAGCGTTTGGGGAGAATACGGTTAACGATCGAAAAGTACAGCGTTGGTTCGAAAAATTTCGGACTGCCGATTTT